AAGAGACCCCAATCTCATTCTAACGAGACACGCCCCACGCCTCTCTCTCTCTAAATCTCATCCGAGCTTTATCTTCTTCTATTGCTCCACTGGTACAAGTTGAAGAAGGGTGTATTGAGTAATACAGTTAAAGATCTGTAGGTAAACCGAGACGAAATGTATTTTGATCTACAGAACTAAATGGAAGTCCGATTGAGACGTACAGTATACCCAGACGACCGTCTCGACGAGAGCTTTCCATCGCCGCCGAGATCCCAGATTCCGACGCCTCACGCGCCCTCACGCGCCACTGGAATCTCTCAGGCTGCAAGTTTCGTTTTGATCTGTTTGCATCCGTTTGATCCGATTTTGATCTGATCTTGCTCGTGCAACCCAAGACGTGATTTGCGTCAATCAATTGCGGTCAACCGTTCGTGGTCAACCAGATCTACATAAATTTTAATCCGTAAGTTCTCTACGTCAAACCTTTAGATCCGCTGCACATAGGTTTACGTTTGCTATTGAATTCGTGACTTGTACATAACGAGATCCTCGCAGGTCCCAACAGGAAGGGGGCCAAGACCACCGTTGGCCAGAAACGGTCACTCATCTAGGCGATGCGAGCGGCAGACGGGCTTGCATCAAAGAAATAGACAGAGAGGTCACTCCTCCTCACTCATTGACATCGACCGCCATGGGTAAATACGTGACCTCTTACCTCATGCAGGTCTTGCCTGCCGCCGACAACAACTAATGGAGCACCGACCTCAAAGAGTTGTGCGACTAAGCCGCACAGGCTATGGCACAGGTAAACTTTCAACTCTTGCCACATTCATGCTCCAAAAACTTCAACCAAAACTTACGATAGTCTGACCCTTACTAGTATTATATATGCAGGGTTTGGCTGCTATGGTCCGTTTGCTCGACATTGCCTTGATTCGCTCTAGTCGAACTATTCCTGAGCTCGAGAAGGAAAATCGAACCCTGCACGAGAACCGACAGCTTGCCTAGGTGCGCCATGAATTGGCATAACAATTGAAGAAAGACGTCATTCGCCACAAGGAAGAGCTCATGGCAAAGGAGCGGGAGCTCGAGCAAAAAGTTACTCGCCGCCGTAGGAAATGCTCGACAAATGCTATGGTCGACTCACATCGACCAAAATTTTCTAAAGGAATACCGTGAGCAAGTGCTTAACAACTACCACAAATCCATGGCATTCCTAATGAAAGTCTCAAGCGTGGCCATGGACTATTACACTGTCAGTGTTGATGAGGCCGAGAAGCAGTTTCCTCTCCTAACTTCGACGGTATCCTCAACCGCGATGTCATATGGGATGCTCTACCTAACGTCCCTGCTGACTTCGAGGGCGATGTTACCCTTCCACTTGAACATACCAAAATATATATTGAAAGAGAATGATGGAATAATCTAAAATAGTAACTTTGACTTTTTAATTAAATAACTTGACTTACTATTAAAGCAAATATAGTAAAATTACTTTAATATTGATAGAAAAATTAAATAAATTATACCTACTTTTTGTAAATTGTGCAATCCAATTAATAGCACGAGTTTTCTATATAAATAAAGTTGTATCATTTTGAAAATTTTATTTTGTGATAATTATCTCAATAAAAATTCGACTCCTCATATTAATCACGAATCACTGCAATTTCTTATTCTTTCGGTAACCAACTATACAACATGTTTTAACAAAAGAAGTCTATTAAATATATTTTATTTTAATAAAATATTATTTGAATATGCATGATAAGATTGCAAATATAATTGAAAAATAAAAATTGAAAATTAAGTATGAAAATTTTATTATGATACTTATCACAAAGTTACAATTGAATCATATTTATCAACATTAATAACAAATCACGATGATTTCTTATTCATTTGGTAATCAACCATATACAAATATATTTTTTATCGTACCTTTCAAAAAAGATTTAATCGAGATGATTAGATTAAAATCCTTCGATTTATCAATAACTCAACCGTTCCAGTTTTTCAAAAATTATCCCATTTTCTAAAATATCAAAAGAAATTTAACTATTTATTTTTAATAACAAACCGATCTTTATCCTTAAAAACAAATCATGCATCCTCATGTTTTGTTGGGTACCCAACTATTTGTAGATCGGATTATGCGTGAAAACATTACAAAACATAAGTACAAATAAATTTAGAAATCAATTGCAAAAATCTTATTGATATAACCACCACAATATTGTAATAGAATTGATATCTCAACATTAATAACAAATCACTACGATTTTCTATTCTTTTCGTGACGAGTCATATATCAAAAATCAACTAAGGAGTTCAAAAATATCATTTGAATTTATCAATAACTGCGCCAAATTAAATTTTTAAAATTTTATATCGCGATTCATAATATCATAATAAATCTCATATAAATTAATGGATTAGATAAAAAAATTAAAATATTTATAATATTATAAATTATAAGAAAAAATAAAATAACATTGATGTACCTAAAAAATTATAAGTTTTGTTAACTTCAGAATAATATATATTACAATTTTTTTTTCTCAATTAAGTGTTGGTTATAATATTTTGTCACAATTTTTCAACTTTAGCCTAACTTATTTAGAAATCAAAATAATATATTGTAACAAGATATGGGTAAAAGAAAATAGAGAGAGACGTATTATGTGAGTATTATTTATTGATAATAAGTATGTTAATTTTTTATCATTCTTAATTATAAATAGAATCCAGAGTGGCTACTATTTTTTAACGAGTGAAATAAACATATGAATCATATATTAAATCATTATATATCATAAAGTAAAAGAAAAAATAATTATTAATATTCAAAACTATTTATATACTAATTATTATTCTTTCATTGGTTTATACACGCAATTATAAATATTGTCTCGTGAATCGCACGAGCTACGTAATAGTATAAAAAATAATGGAGTTGAGTTAAAGTTAGAGTTATATTTTGATTTTTGAATCATGTTATAAATAAACCATAATAAAAAATAAGAGAAAAAGAAATTCTCTCTCTAAAAACTGTGCCCTAACCCCTCTTTTCCCTTCTTCTCAGTCGTCGATCAAAGCTTCTCGCATGCCTCCCTGGTGGTTTCGTCAGCCTTTGCCGGCGGATGGCCTTCAGCTGCGCGCCCTTATCCCAATTTTGCGCTATCCCCGGGCCGTTTGCGCCGATGGAGGAAAATGGTCGCCTTCTGCCAGAGCTCGCTACTCTCGGATTGCAAGTCGCAGTCGTCGAGATCTGGTTGCTGGTTGAGGTCGCGCTTGTCGGCTCCCTGGTTGCGTCGCGGTGCTAGGTGCTGGAGAAGAATTGGGGTGGGGGTGTGGCCCTGGCTACTTGCTGTTTCTGCGGTGAGTGGGCTAGGGTTGAGTGGCGTGGTTCGAACCCTCCGTTTCCCTCTTCTTTTGGTGTGCAGGAAGGGGAAGCCCAACTCTCTCGGATTTGGGCCAGTGGTGATTGTTGGATTCGGGATGGTGGGTAGTGAGGTGGGGTCTTGCCATTGTTCGTCCGGCTTTGGGTCGACTTCCTTCTTGGAGTGGTTCAAGGTTTGGGACTCGTCCTTTGCTAGGCGTTTAGGCAGTGGTGGGAGTGGCATTCTGGATTTCGGGTCAAGTTGTGGATGGTTAGTCCTTATTTCGTTGGTGCCTTGTGCTGGGCTCGGTTATTCTGTTCGGGAAGGGCTGTGCTTGTTCGTTTAGTTTTTGTTCATTGTTATTTAGGATTAGTGTTTTTGTTTTGGGCCGTTGGCCTCTGTGTGCGAGAGTGGGATTAGCTCTTGTCTCTATTATCCTGTTGGCAGCCTTGTAGTTTTTCTTAGGTTGTCGTATTTGTTATGTAATGAGTCATGTTTTTGGTTTCTAGTGTTGCTAGTGTCGGGATTCTAGGCGGTCGTCAGACTTGTCCTCTCAGTTTATTCAACTTTTGATTGTATTATTTAATTAGAAAATTTATCTTTACACGCATTTTATTATATAATATTCTCTATGGTTCCGAAAAAAAAAATAAAAAAAATCATGTTATAAACAAACATAGTTTTACGTTTTACCAACTACCTCATCGTATCTATTACTATATAATACGGTTAAGAAAAAACTATTCAAACAATTCGAAAAAAAAATAATTCGTTTTCCCGCTTCATAATAGTTATTTTGCCGCTTCTATATTTCGTGAAATTTTTTTAATTTATTAACATTTCCCTCATCTTCAATTTGGTAACCAATCAAATCGCAATTGTATGATAAATCCCATGCAATTAAAATAAATACCGGATATGTTAACTAAGGTGATAAGATTTTGCTAATTCATGCGTTATATGGTGCTGATTTTGCGGCTGAATTTAGGTGCTTCGAATTATATGGTTTTGTACTTTAGGTGCTCCGATTTAACTTTCTTAAGTGGATAAACTAAATTAACAGATCTGATTTGCGGCTAAATTCTATGAATATGATGATTCCAAATAATCTTTAATATTCGTACATAAATCTGCCAAATGATTTTAATAATTTTATTAATTTTTTGAATTAATCTTTTCTAATATGATTCCAATCAGCAACTCAAATTAACAAATTTTGTTCAGCAATATTGACCAACTCATGTTTTTAACAATTGAAATTCTAAATCGTTGATATTTCACATATATACAATAATGTACAACCGTTGGAGAATAATAAAAAATCGCAATCATACAATATATGAAGCTCAAACAGTAAATATATAATAAAACATTCCTCAAACAATAGGATTCTATCTACTATTAAGAATACAACTAAATTCTATCTCTACAAGCATATTTTTAATACAATAAATCACATCATATTTGGAATTAAAATATAACGATTTAAACATATAATTGAGAATAAAATAAAAATATTTCCGAATAATTAGTTGCAAAATACGTCTATCAGAAAAAGTGAATTCATTACTATATAATTGAAAAGAATCCTATATAACATAAATACTTCATATAATTTATTGTACAACCAAATACATTCCCATTCCGTTCAATCACTTCATATAAAATATAAACATTCTTAAAATAAAATGATTTTATTCACTTTTATGAATCAATCTCTCGACCTATAACATAACTGTAAACCTATTAATACTTGAATGAAGAGAATCCAACTGTCATCTAAAATTATTAGTCGAATATTGTAATATAACTACACGTGAACAATTAAGAACAGAATATTGTAACATAAATAAAAAGAATCCTACTAACTTAAAACATCTCTAAACTTTCCTATTAACACGTGCCCTATATGATAGCAATTATGAAACAAATATATTTTCGATTTACCTTTCCTAATATAATATACGGTTCTATTAAAAACAGATTTCGTAACATAAAATAAAAAAAGAATCCAACTCAATTAGAACTTCTCTAAACTTTCCTATATATTAACACGTGCCATATATGATAGCAATTACTAGAATAATATATTTTTCAATTATCTATTCTTAAATTTTGCAAAACACCATATATTTATTTTCCTGTCATTCAGATTTTTTTTTTTTGTTCTACGTGAAGTACATTGAAGGGAACTAATCCTATGAATTTCTAAGGAAATACATCAAATTTAATTTTCAATTCATATTCATTTTTTTTCCAACAATTCTGCCCCTAATTCGTTTAACATGTGCAGAATGAAGCAGTTCAAACGAGGAAAATCGAAAGACAGCAACAACATACAATCAAAAGGCATCAGAAAGAGAAGATGCTAATCACAAAAACAAGGTTACATTACTCAAATGATATATTGTTATTCAAGAAATTTGAATATGATATGATGTGTTGAAGTTTAAATCGTAATTGAAAGATGAATAATGTTTTTGGGTTTTGTTAAAACTATAGTTTTGTGGATTTACCTTTGATGTTTGGTGACTACATGTTTCGCATTGAAAATGATAAACTCTTATCCAGTTTACTCAAATCGCATCATCATATGCTCGCATAAAAAATATATAAAAAAAGTGATTAGACACTTAACCTACGATCTATGCTTAAATGATGCTTCTTATTGTTTTATGAAAAAACTATGCATATTACCAATCTTATTATTTTTCTAATTTTTTTTAGTAAAAACAAATTCAGAATCCGAGGATAAATGGCCGTCACATTGCAGCATGATGGATAACAATGGGAGACAATTGCAAGAAGTTAGCAAAATAAAGTCTACAGCCTTACAACATGGAATAAGAATCAAATACACAAGGTGACAATGCAAAACATGCTTTATAAATCATAAATGCAAGTTCTATGTTTTCAAGAATTTTCTATGTATCAATTTTTTGGCTACCTTATTTCAATATCCCTAGAGTGTATAAAAATTGTTGATAATTCACATGTAATCAAAGTGTATTTCTGTTCATATAATTTCCAAGTATATATTATACATATTTTTGCAAAATTGAAATGATTTTCAACTGTATTATGTCACATTTCAACATAGATTAGTATATATGATGTCAATTCATGAGTAACAACTTCCACATTTGTATGGCAGCTTTATAAACTACACCTCTATGATGCTTCTGCAAAAAAAAAAAGAAAAAAAAAATGATTTAGAATCATTATTCGAATTATCATTTCATATGAATCATATAACACATTGTTATAAATACACTTACTGAAGCTTTGGTATTTGGTCATACTTGAACTTGAACTGTAAGAAATCACATGCATACATGTAGTTTTAGAATCATATACATTTATAGTTGATTTTTAGCTGAAATATTTAAATCTGCATACAGTTGTTTCCTATACAAAATTTATGAGTTGATATGCACTACTCAAGTATTTATCATACATTACAGGTGTTTATCTATAAACATGATTATACATCAGATAGAATAATCAACACGTTTAGAAAAATAAGAAAAATTCAGTTATTTTGTTTTGACAACAATAGGCACTACTCAAGAAGGTAGACTGAAAGCAATATAAAAGAAGATGGACGAATTAAAACAACTAATCTCTTTTGAACCAGAATTACGAAAAAACTTAATGACATTGCATATTCTAACCAAACCTATTAATTTCATGTCAGACTTCTATGGTTTTTTTAATAAATTACAATATTCATAGAACATGTTGAAGGTTCGAGTCACAAAAAGAAACTAATTGTAAACCGCCATTCGAAATCATAACTGTTTTTTTTAAAAATAGTATAATTAATCATAAAATCAAACAAAAAAATAAGGTCCACCATTTTTTCAGTCTTTTCTAGCAATACATATATATTGTATCAAAGAAAAAACAACAATTTCACAAAATTCAGAAGATTTGTGAATCAATTTTCAAAATAAAAATGAACATGCTTAAAAAAAAATAACACGCAAGGATTGCTAAAAAAAATTCAAACTCTAATAACAAATCTGAAGTTGTTTGAGGATGAACAAACAAAAATTAAAGATAAAACAACAACACCCCCTTTTTTTTCCATTTATGTAACTGTGAATGTAAGATCCACACGAAAAACAAAGGATTCACATAGTTTGTGAATCTATTTTCGTATGGAAAATGAAAGAAGATGAAAGAACTCGGCTCAGAACATATAGTTTGTTACGAAAAAACAAACAAAAATTGAAGATAAAACAACACCACCCACAAACTTGCAAGAGATATGTAACTGCTAATCTAAGATCCACATGAAAAACGAAGGATTCACGTGTTTGATCTTTGATTTTCGAAAGTTGAAAACCAAAATTATGAAAGAAAGGCAGAGAAGAAAACAAATCAAATTTCTGAAAACCCTATTATTTCGGGTTTTCTCGCCTTTTATAGTACATTTGCTGCTTCTTAGCCGTTCGATTTTGAAGACCAATGTGCGCCGTTCGATCAAAATGGATTTGTCTTGGGACTTCTTTTACTTCTTTTGGTCTGAATTTTTTTGACTTATGGACCAGATCCATTAATACAATAACAAGTTGTATTAAATTTAAACAAAACAAAAGTTTTGTTGAGCTTATAAAATTGCGTCCATATGTTTATTAGATAACAAAATTAATTTAAGCCCACATTTTAATTATTTTATATATTTTATTATTCATATTCCTATTATATTAGTATTATCATTTAATAAATTTAATAGTAATGAACATTAATGTGTGTAAATTTTTATAGTATATGCAATCATCCTAAATATACAAAATCTGATGAATTTTTTATTTTATAAGTTTATAAAATAATTACCATTAATTCACAATCAATTGTTTTAAAATAACATTCTTTTTGAAAGCACAATTAATATTTATAAATTAAAAAATGAGATGTTAAATGTAAATAATTATATTTAAAATAAAATTTTAAAGATTTTTAAGTAATAAGCTCGTCCGTGCATTGGACGGGATGCACACTAGTTTGAGAAGAAAAAGAAAGAACTACCTCATCGTAAATAAAAAAGCAAATACCTTGTGCTCGCTCTCTCTAGCCAAACGTTCTCTCTTTCCACAGCTCGTCCAAATTTCTCAAATTCATTCCTCTCAAATGGTTATCAAATAATTTATAAAAGTGCCTCCCAAGAACACACATCTTAGTTTCGCCCGATTGTATAGCGAATAGACCTAATTTTTGGGTATGGCTGATGCATCAGCATTTCGATTGTCCTTGCCGTTGGTTTTCTTCCTCCAATTGGGGACTTTTTTGTTTATCCTATCATCGATCACAGCCGCTGACGATGTCTCGCGAGCTGCTCCCGCCGGTGAACCCAAGGCCTGCGGAAATGACTTCCAGTTGGTATGATATAGAACTTCGTAAATAGTACAGCTTCTTCTTATTCATTTTTCCCTGAATATTGTTGATTAGTACAGCTTCTTCTTATCCAGTTTCCCCTGAATATTGTTGATTATTGGCGTCAAATTCCGCTGTTTTCCCATTTTTAGGTGCCCCTTCTTGTATAAGTTTTTGAAGAATATTTGAGATGTAACGTGTTGAGTCTTGATCTTGGCTTGAGAAAGTAACGTTACTGCGCAATGGTACTTAATTGTAATATAGGTCAAGGTTTCTTTGTTTGTGTTTTCTTTTTTCAGGTTAAGGTCAAGAGGTGGATAAATGGTGTTGAGAAGGAGGCAATAGGTGGGTTAACAGCTGATTTTGGCTCTATATTGCCTGCTGATGCTAAAAAAGGTCACAGATTGCCAGCTCTATTTTCAGAACCCTTAAATGGCTGTTCCTCCTCTTCATCTAGGGTATTTTTCTGACATGTCAAGTACTCTCGTTTTATTTTTATACATGATATGCTTATTAGGATTTTACGCTCATCAAGTACTCTATTATCATCAGCAAGCAGGCATAATCATCCGATTGACTATTGGTGGCTACTTTAATTGCAAAGCTTGATATTGATTTTGATCCCAGGCTAAGTTATGCCTGTTGTTGAGTTCTTTACATATATGAACTGGCTTTGATGGTCACAAAATTGGAAGCTGTTTAGGCAAAACGTGATGAAATAACTAATGTACAAAGTGACATAACCTCTGTAGATTCATATACAAGGAGAAGATAAAGATGACAGATGGATGAACTCTGGTAGGCTTGTAGCATATGATTACCTAAACTAATAGCTTTCTGACTGACCAGAATATGTATTTCATTATATCGTAAAATCAACAAAATACCTACTGTTACCATCATGCCCTTATTTTCTCTGTTTCCAATATGACTTCTTTCAAAAGTGAAAACTAATCTCGTTAAATAGGTGTATAACAAGGATGAAGGATGTCCTGTGAACTTTGCCCTCAAATTTTGTAGCGTCCTCTTGTCTACCATCTTGTTGCTTCTTCCAACCATAACAAACTGCAAAGTGTGTCAACAAAAACTCTCGATTAGATTATTCCCTTGCATCCCACATACCATTCTAAACCACTCATGAAGAGATCTACATATTGATGGTTGAGGGATTACCCAACACAAACCAAAATCGGTTGAACTTGAACCATTGTTGCATCATAATTAGCAATGCAGATGAATTTGAGTCTTAGAGTCATGTCTTCACAGTATATACCGATTCCAAGGAGAGACAAACAGATTTTGTACAAGCAGTATTACCGTTGACAAAAATAATGTTGCGTTTTGGCATACTGTTACTTTTCAAATTTTTCAAACTTGAGAAAAGTGGGAGAAAAATGTAGGGAAAGGAACTTACAGCAGTTTACATGGAAAACACCCAATGCATATCAAAATTACCTCATATCTTGTGCACACTGCCAATGCCACCCTGTCTATCTATCCTGGTCTAGTGTTCAACTTATTGATGCTTTACTCTAGTAAATAACTCCAGAAATTAAGTTTCCTAGAAAGTGATTCTCCATCATTGGATTGGTTAAGAACAGGAAATTGGTCAAATGAGTACTTGGTTTTTGATGGATTAAAGATGTGTTATTATGAAAGATGTAATTTTGAGAAAGAAGCCTCCCGAGATTACATATCCTCCCATAACATGTCCCTATTGCACTCACAAACTACATATGCGTGCAAGAAAAAATAAATTCCAAAGGCCTTAGGAGTTTGTCGTATATGCTACTCCCTCTGTTCCGTTTTATTGGTCATATTTCAGAAAAAAATGTTTGATTTTATATGTCACTTTCTGAAAAAGAAGACGCACTAATTGCATATTTTCTCGAATAATGGATGTATTAACATTAATCAATTTATTTTTCTTTTCCCATTAGCAATGAATTTTATAGTATATCATATGATTGAAGAGCCAATATTGAAGTTTGGAAATAACTACATTCAACTTATTTTGTTAAATTTAGAAAATATAAGACCATCAACAACTATTTTTCTTAATATGTATGAAAAACCTAAGACCACGGATAGAACAAAACTGATGTGAGGGATTGCCCACTCCACAAAGCAACCAAGCCCATTATTAAACCTCCACCAACATTTTCGTGACAAATCTTTGTTCGTGAGACAAGTCTCCTTTTCATAAATAGTATACTTCAACCAAATTCTTTAATTTCCCTTTAATCTAGAGGCTTACTCATTGTTTAATAACTTCTTGGTGAAAGAATTAACAAATATTTGAAAACTAGTAATTTTTTTGTTTTTGTTTTATTAAGTATGAAATTAACTACATCATTCAGTATGAAATCCACCATCTGCAGCAGCTTTGCTACTTTGTGGCCCTCATAAAAGTTCATCACATTTCTACAATTTTAGAACCTCCATTTGACACAATTTCTTCTTATATAACGTTAGTGTTAAAATAGACCGACACCTATGTTATTTGGTATGCTATCTTTTGGCCCCCGCCTGCACCATCAACATCAGTTTGCATGCAACCCTGAGACATTCCCCATAAAGTTTCATAAAACTCCAACATCACATCTGATGAAGTTTCTCATTATATTACATTGAGTTAGCATTAGAACCTACATTAATAAAACTGGCTGGCAACTAGAAGTGGGGAGAAACAATGGGGCATTGTGGACAGTTCAACTTTTAAGTTTGTATTCAGTGATATATATATGGACTTTATGTTATAACAAATTATTTGACCAAGTGACAAACTACATGCTTAAAGCCATGCCTAGTTCATAAGTCATGAATTCTAAGCTCATGTAAAAATCTGAAGAGGTCACCTGGATCTTTAATTATATAATGTTATTTTGACCGTTTGACTTGTGTTCGTGATGTCTGATGACTAATATTGGTGTTTCGTAGACTATTATTTCTTATAGTTGATTTTTAGAATAATATAACATGAAATTTCATGTTATTGTCACTTTGCATGGCTAGACCTCGCCTTTTATCGCCTAGGCCACAAGGCCACATGCCATGAATAGTCAACTTGGCAGCACTTACTTCATTAATAATTTAGAAGAATTTACTGATTGACGAGACGGCGTTGGCCTTTTTGGACAAGCATGATCGATTAGCATCATTGGTTTAATTATTTATTTCCTTTGTTTTAATATTTATTAAGGGCATCTTGAATTTGTTATGAAACTTATTTATTTTATTAGTCTTTTACTTGTTGGGCAAGATATTTAATTGGGATTAGGAGTTCTATATAAAGACTCCCCTTCTATTGTTTGGGTAGGGTTGATTTTGATTGAATAAAAATGGAGTTTTTTCAATACAAGACCTGAAAGATAGGTTAATATCAAATCGGGGCCTAAAAGACTTTTTTTTTTTTTCTCAATTCGGGACTTAAATCTTGTAAAACTATCAATATTAGTCTTAAAATTAACAGAATACATAACACCGTTAAATTGAGAGTTTAAAAGAAAAAAAAAAGATCCAGATTTTAATAGAAAAAAAGAAAAGAAAAGAAAAACTAAAAAATGCGACGGCCCCGAAGGGCCCGAACAGGGCTGATTGTTCCTGGTATGACCAAATGAAACAAATGGCAAAATCACCTTTTTAATTTATTTTATTTTTTTATATGGCTGCCATTGTTTAAGTTCTATTGTTAATTTCTTTTTATTTCTTTAATTTTTTAATTTTTTTTTTACCTTTGTACTTTGTAGAAGATTTGGGTGTTTTAAAACTTCAAATTAACTGATGGGATGGGGTTAAGTTGATGCTGTAAATTTTAAGCCTCATATCGATAGTTTTATAACATCTAGGTCCTGAATTGAGAAAAAAAATCTTTCAGACCTGATTTGATAGTTTACCTATTCGAGCTTTGTATTGAAAAAACTCCGCTGGCCCTTAGTATTAAAGTGCCCTCTGACCACATTAACAATCTTTCTAACATTATCCTTTTCCAGATTAATACCTAAAAGCACACTTTTCATTGAAATGACTTTTCGCCTTTATATATCACAAACATCTTCATCTGTTAGATTACCCTCTAATTGACATTCATTATTCACTAATGCAGTGCATAGTCTACAATTTGAATATGAGAAATTTCAACTCTATCTTTAACTACAGTGAAACTGTTAATTAATGATAGAAAGATATTTTGCTTTGTTTATCAACAACGCATCTACCACTGAAGTAAAGAGGAGAGGTGCTTGTGGACCCTTTCATTGAGACCATGATCCTCTTGATCTTTCCCCTATGCCTTCCATCAATCATGGTTAGAAATGACAATGATGATAGTTTGATCCATCTCCTCCTGTCCTGTGTAGAACCTGAACCCCTTTCTAGCAAGTTCAAAAATTAAGATATGTTATTGTATCATAAGCTTACGAAGTTTTGTCTTAAACACCCCACCCTTTTTCCTTATAAGATGTTGGATCCAAAGCTTCTTTGAATATGCTATCTTCAGTATAATAATGATCTATATATAGTGAAGTGTCTGATTCCTGAAGCTTAATATAGGGTTCACTCTTGGGTTTTTAATCTCTGAATTTTTTTTCCAAAGTGGTTCATGTTTTCTAGCCTGTTGTCGTCCCTGAATGAGAAAGTCTCTTATTCTCTTGTAGCTGGTAGGTTCCATTTCTTTAGTTGTACGTGGTGATTGTGAATTCACCACTAAAGCTAAAGTTGCACAAGCAGCAGGAGCAGCAGGAATGGTGATGCTGAATGATGATGAAGGTAGCTTCATCCCTTAGGCCTATCATACATATCTTTTCATTGTTTAATATCTGGTATGCTTTGGGCAGTTTCACTTTTGTTTCTTGTTGCTTGGACTTTTATAGGTTTTGTGCAGATGGGTTGTGGGAATGATACTAGTTTGAATATTACTATTCCCGTGATTACAATTTCTAAGTCGGGAGGAGTGGAACTAAAGAAATCCATTGATGGTGGAGAAAAAGGTGAATCCCATTCATGATATTTATTGAAAATGGTTTTTGAAGGAGAATATTGTGACTTATGCTGATCTTAGTCTGAGAGTAATTACCTTTGCTGTTTCAAGATTGAAGTCTTCTGCACTAGTTTCACTGTTCTTTTAGTTATGTTACCTTTCTTTAAGCAGTTTGTTGGATTTCTTGTCGTTTTTCATTTCATTTCATTTTATATTTGGTGTCTTTTGTGATTCCTGCTTCATATTTAGCTTTCACTGTAAAACTATCTATGACTTTAGGCAGTAACATGGAAATTTGTTGGTATGAAGGACAATGAAGTCGACCGCCCTTTAGCCTTTACCCATTGCTATCTCTCTTGGAATATGCTCTCTCTCTTGGAATAGTTTTATCTGACTCACTTGCTCTCTGCATCTTACCCACGAAGAAAGTGACTGAGGTCTTCGAATATCTACCTTAGAAGAAGACTGAATTTAATGATTCCAGCCGCATGTTGACTTGTTACACAACATTGCATGAATCTATGTTGGCGTCTCTCTCTCTCTTTCTTGTTGCCCCCGAAAGAACAAGGTTGGTAGTAAGTAGGGAGGAGATCAAGAAGGTTGGGATTAATCGTTCAGTTGGAATGCCAAATCATTAGCGACTGGCGCTGTCTAAAACTTGCTATGAATGTAGTGACATATGACACCTATTTTCGACAGATTATGGTTGTCATGGTTAGCAGAAATAAGGAAAACGGAATCGTTTGCGAGAAGTAATTCCATCAATTTCCTACATATTTGTGGCCTAAAGTATATATCTGTGAGATTGTTTACTACTTTATGTTGCAACCTAATCTCAAAGCTTTGTGTTTTGTAGTAGATTTTTGCAGATTCATTGGCTTCCTGCAAGGATTTGTTGACTTTTATGGTGTATATGTACCTTTGTTGACTTTTTTTTTTTGGTCAAGAGTGCTAACTTCTATTTTTTTTCTTATGCAGTGGAACTTCTGTTGTACTCACCTGAACGACCAATTTTAGATTACTCGGTGATATTCTTGTGGATGATGTCTGTTGGAGCAGTTGTTACTGCTTCACTTTGGTCAGAGATCACTGGATCAGAGCAAAGTGATGAGCGCTATAATGAATTATCACCCAAGGTTCCATGAATAGCAGAAATAGTTTTTAGGTTCTCGTGTGATCATTTTACATTAAATAATTATTTTTTCAGTGCCCACAGTTAGTGAGTTCGTTGTGCAATTTCTGCCTTTAGTTTCTGTTTTAGATTTAGATGAAGTGTCATGCTACAGTAACATAAATGACGACATATACTTTACATAATATACACGTGGTACAATATTCTTATATTATATTTCTTAAGATTTAGAAAAGGCCTCTTTCAGTTTTTTGTTATATGGTTGCTTTGGTTTCTCATATATAATAGTTATGCTCAGGTGTTATGGGTTCATTTAGTTTTTCCTTGACAAATATGACATTAACTGCCTTTTCTTTTCATTTTCTTGTTTTTCAAATTAGGAATCTGATGCTGCAGCAGCAGCCAGGCAAGAGGAAGAGAAGGAAATCCTCCATATTAGCACGAAAAGTGCTGTAGTTTTTGTTATAACGGCGTCAACTTTTCTGCTGCTTCTTTACTTCTTTATGTCGTCATGGTTTGTCTGGGTGTTGATTGTACTTTTCTGCATTGGAGGTATTGAGGTAAATATTTTTTCCATTCACTTTTGTTCACTTAGAGGTTCTTTCTGATCATATAGTTGAGTATAAGCATAAATAATAAGCTACAGGATCATGTGGACTGGATTACATTCGCCTCATACTGATGATTGGAAGCCTTTCAATTGTGCACATCAGCAAAGTAAACTAAAAAGATTGAAGCATTTAACATACCTTTTCTCTCATGAGTGAGAATTTCACAAGTTGAGGCCATTGATGTATTATCAGTTTATGCATGCTTTCGACTATGTTGTTTAATTTTAACTCCTGCATTGATTGGTTGAGTACTATCCTGATTTTTTTAAGTAAAACGTAGACTGCTGCTTTATGTGTTTTGAATGGCCAGGGTATATGCGTCACTAGTGTCATCTTCAATCCATAAATATAACCAAATAAAAAAAAAAAATTAAATAATTCTGCAACTAGCAAAATATGGCGGCAATGAGTACATGGATTCTAATATGGGAACATTTTCGGGGTAATTGGTATAATGTATAATGGTCTTGGTACTTTGTCATGCTCTTTGTTGTAACTTTAGTACTGGTGTCATGACTAGTGAATACGGTGCGGTAACCAAACCGGAACACCATATACTGAACTAAACAGTATCGATAATACCATATGTCAAAACCAAAACTGCAGATTTTCAGTTGGTAACTAAAATATTGGTTCTATATCAATTATTTTCGGCAATACTGAAAATACCGAGTTGCAATTTGAAACATTTAAAATCAGATATGGGGTTGTTTGTAATTTGTTTGGACCCATGAAAGTATAATGAATTAACTAATTTCAAAAGACGGTGTCATTTGGTACTATGAATCGATCGGTGCCGTTCGGTACTACTGAATCACCAAATATTCAAAACCACATCTGAACTGCTATTAGTTTGGTTATCTTATGTAAATTTCCACAATATAATTGAGTTGGCTCGCTTTTCCCATTAAATTTGCCAGCTCTTTGTGTTATCATCTTCCAAAAGATTTTCTTGCCACATGCCTATCATTTTTCTTGTCCTGTTGTGCATAATTAAGAGTGATGCTTGGGGCTTACTTGAGAAAATACTTCGTTGAACTCATATTCTAAGACCAAGGCTTGAGAAGTTCATCTGCTTAATTTGGTAATTGGAGAAGCTGCCTTTGGGAGTCATTAATTCTGTAGATTTAGAACTTCCGACTCCAATATATTTCAATTATTTTACATAAAGCAGGATAAAACTATTAATCTCTATATTAACTTTGCCACACGGTGTAATTGTCACCATTGCAAGTCATGTTTTGCTTCTAAAGGTACAAGTAGTAAACTTCTTGGCTTACTCCCCAACTCTAGAATATAGCTATCTGAGTTAGTCTTCGGTGCACATAAATTAGCCATAATAATGCATATACTTCTGTACTTTTTTAGATGAAATTTTAGATTCTTTCTGCGGCGACAGTCCTTTTGGGACTGGTTGATTGGTTGCATGACCTATTCACCTTGCCAAAGTGAAAGCATTAGTGTGGTACAGATGGGCTTGATAAAGTTGAACAAAGTCAATGACAAGTCTGTCTAGACTACAGTTACTAAAAAAGCTAATTGCAACAGTATATATAGTCTCCATGCTTAACATACGATGGTAAAGTAATCCTCTCGCATGATTGATCATAATTATACTGAAGCAAATTCTCGGCCTTTGACCTTCAATGTGTTTTCTGACAACATTTAGAAGTCTCTTCTTGCATCATGAGATGTTGCGAAGAATATTGCTACGCTATGTTCTCCTACACTTGACCTCATCCTCCACTATATGTTTTATGCGATATTTTGTGCTTTGGCATTACCTTAAGACCATCCTTATCCTACTCCTATAAATCTATTTTTGCCTTTGTGCCTTTTGGTATCTGACAGCAGCATAGGGATTCTTAATCTCCGATCTTGTTTTCCAATACTTGTTCTTGTGTGATATTTTTGTCTTGATCTTTACTTTCCCATTCTTGCCTTAGTCCGATAATTTCTTTTCCTCAGTTTTTCCGTCTGAGAGGAGTTGAGGAAAATGTGGATATCCACGAACCTCTAAAGTCACTTTTTTCCTATGTACCTTGTTGCTTGGAATGTGCGCATTGATGGCCATATTGGTCATTGTTCCTGCAGCAGTTGGATTTATAATTTTTCTCTTGACCGTTATCTCATTCATTTTCCTCACATCCCAAACTTTGGTACATTCTTCTGTAGAACACAGGAAAATTTATACTCGAGACTTATTTATTTTTTCTCATTACCAGGGAATGCATAATTGTATTGTTTCACTGGTGACAAGGTACGATGGTTACTTTTGTGAAATGATTAATTTAGTAATGTTTAGATTCTTTACATTGTTGTTATGTCATAATTTACCGGTTTGCCGCTCTACTATATTCTCTCTCTCTCTCTCTNAGTAAATGCAAAAATAGTGAACGGAAGACCTTGAATTTGCCTCTTCTAGGGGAGGTTTCAATTCTCTCTTTAGTTGTCTTGATAGGATGTCTAGCATTTGCCATATTCTGGGCTGCTAATCGAAATGCATCATATTCTTGGATTGGGCAAGACATCTTGGTAAGCTATGCCATTAACCCAAAGACCTTATGTAGTGTCAGAGTTGAGTCATCTGAGCAAAAATATTTTCCTCAAACCACAAGTACTGGCTTCCTCATGAGTACTTTTTGGTTTGCATTTCTCTTATGAGTGTGGTAGTTATTTCGAAAAAAATTATACATTTATTGTGGATTATTTTATGATGTTCTACTTTCTGTGAGTTTAGTTTTATGAGAACAGTTCGATTTTAAAGTTGTTGGGATGGCCAAACAATCCACAGCGTTTTGATCTTAAAGTTGTTGGGATGCCAATCTCATATTCCGTTTCACGGAAATAATTTGAAATGTATTATAACTGTTACCATTAGATGTCATTCATTACTTAGAACCCTTATGCGGTTTGCTTTCAGTTCTTATTGTAATGTATCAATCTATATTTAATATGAATACTAAAATATATAATCTTATAGTTGTTATATAAAATATCTAATCTTCATTATAAGTTGTCTAGTTTCTCTTTTTTTAATATAATTTTTTAGCTACAGTAAAGTGAAACATAGAGTACAAATTATGAACTTATTTTTTTGTTTGAATTTTAAAGATAACATTTAGAAATAAAGCGTATCAAAATAAGAACAATCATTAGTAAATATCAAAGCGTATCATTCTCTCTCTATCTTTTTTTTTTCTCACATTTTTTTCTGAAAATAAAATTCTTGCAAGAGTAAATATCAAAACCATTTATTCTTGGTTGGATAGAAATAGCTTATTCAATGTCAAAATAAACAAGTGGCCATTTGCATAAATGTTTGTCTCTTTATTCTCAGGCAAAATCCATATCAACTATTTGAAGGAAAGAGATCAAGAATCTCCATTTCCTATGTCATTGTCACTTTGCAATCATGCAATCAAGGGCATTCAGTTCATTTATTTATTCAGTCTATTATATACTCATTGGCCCTTATTTATCTACATGATAACCCCTCCAAATGTGAGGTGGAGAATTTATGTGTCAATCTTGTACTTATGGATGATACTTCTTAGGTTTCCAGTTATATGCACCTTCAAAAGAATTTCTATTGTATACCTGCTTGTCCCCTTGTTGTATGTATCTTTTGTGTTCATGGATGTTGGGTATTCATGTTTAGTCTGCTGCACTGCGAACTTTTGCATTTATTATATCTCCCTCGAGCTATGGCGTGTTGGGTAATTTGGCTTGTCTAGCCTATTTCACAAATGTTTCTGTATCATGAAGCAGCGATTAGTTATTTTTTCTTAAATTATTCCGTGGACTCCAATTTTCAGGGTATTTGTATGATGACCACTGTCTTGCAGTTGGCTCAATTACCAAACATAAAGGTATACCGATAAACCACATTTAATTACTATTTTACTAATATATTTTAGTTTCATCCTATTCCTTTTTCCCTTTTAGGTTGCCACAGTACTCCTGTGTTGCGCATTCTTGTACGATATCTTTTGGGTGTTCTTATCTCCGTACATATTCCATGATAGCGTTATGATTGCGGTGAGTTTTATAATGGATAATTTTTCTCATTCCTCTCATCTATTTGTCTGTAAATTTAGGTGTTTTTCTTTTTCTACTGTGCTTTGTTGTCTTCTAGCAGCTTGTTTATCTGATCCTTGCTTGCATCTGATAAAATCTTGGCCATTTTTTTATGACCAATGTTCTTATTTATTGTCAGCTGATGCGGTTATACCTTCTTTTTCTGTCAATATATATATATATATATATATATATATATATTTATCATTAGTTGTTTTCTGTCTATATTTTATCGTTTCATGAGTAGGAATATATTAGTCCTATGGTCGATTTTCTTCCATGTTTCTAGAGTAACTTCTAGACTACTCAATGTGTATCAAATAAGAAGGAATCAATAGACATATCCTCTTTGGTGAAATTAGAAAATTATGTGTACTGAAAATAAAGGACTTTTGGTCGCAAGACAGAGTAGGTCAATATCGTTGAGGGTAAGGTTCTTTGAATTGTTCGCATCGCTGCCCTAGCTTCGTGTGTTTGTATTAATCATACATGAGTTCTTTTTGATTGCTTGTGTGAAAATTCCTCTCAGCAAGCTCAAATAACAAGTTTACTAATTATTCATGAGCAAGTTGCTTAATCAACAAGATAACTGCCTTCTCATTTTGTCTCAGTTCCTTGTGCCATGTCTCAACTGTTTTCAAAGTTTGAAATACACTTACTACGCTTCATATTCTTCTCTTCATTATACACTTGCTAAGAACAATCGATCCATTTTTTTTATTGAGGTAGATTTGTTCTCAATGGCGATACCGAACTCTAGAATTTTATTATCATCCTTATTGATAAGAATCATAAGTACTGCAGAATTGGCTGAATGCAGTAATCATCTAGTACTTTACTACGACGGGAAATTGTTGTAAAGTCTCTGAGGTGGTTACTGATACGATCTTATCAATAAATGCTTTGGGTTGATATTACCTTTTTTTTTTTTCTCTTAAAATTAATTAATACTCCTGCACAGGAATGTAATGTAAGTAAATTAGATGAATAAAATACCATTGAACATTGTTTTATGCATTTCTTTATCCTAGTTTCCATGATATATCACTATTTTGTATTCAATTCAATTTATATGTTTAAGTATAATATTTTAAACGGTGTAAAATAGTTCAATAAAAGATTGTTCATAAACTAAGCTTACTAAAATTCATAGACCACACGAATTCTGACAACACGTTTTTGTTGATAATCCAAGATTTGTCTGCTGACTATATCCAATTTTATATGGTGATTCTGGGATTTATATTTGGAAAGCAATAATTAATATAATTTGTGATATTATATGCAATCAAATCTATCACATGCATATACTCTGTGTCTATGTAAAGTATATAATCAATTATTGGTGATATTTGTATGATTATATGATCAGTGTGAAGTTACCAACACAATTAAAGATATTTGTATGATTATATGATCAATGTGAAGTTACCAACCCAATTAAATAATTATTCTCAGGATCATATCAATTTAATTACTATATATAATGATTATCATTTCAGAATTAATGTTTCCACTTTAAGCCAAATTCTTTCTCTAGTATTTTTACACATTCTATTTCCAAGGTTTTTTATACATAAAACTTATGTATTTTTTATTTTTGTTTAGGTTGCTCGAGGTGATAAAAGTGGTGGAGAATCGATACCCATGCTGCTGCGAGTACCTAGACTTGCCGATCCTTATTATGGTTATAACATGATAGGCTTTGGGGACATTTTATTCCCCGGTTTGCTAGTTGCCTTCTCTTTTAGGTATCTATACTTCTACAATTACAATCGTGCCACTGATTGCAAGAATATGATACGAATAACACTCATGCCCCAATCTAACAATTTTTGTTAAATGTCTTAAATGTACGATCCTATTGATACCATTTGCAATTGCTCCGTTTTAATTTTTTCATCCTTTTAGAACTTATCAAATTTTTTCATCTCTGAGCGAGGAGTGCGTATTTTGAGCAAAGATAAATATTAGAGTTGTGGTTGAGTACCTTTGGTTCTTAACTGTTATACCCTTTTAATTATATTTCAGATTTGACAAAGCCAAGAAGAAGAAGATATTCAATGGATACTTCCTCTGGTTGGTAATTGGCTATGGAGCTGGTTAGTATATATTTTACTTTGTTATATTTTTCTTCTACTCGTACTTGACTAGTTCTTGTGACCTCATCCTGTTTCTTACTTTCCTGAATAATATGCAATCTGCTCATCTTTAATTGTCTTGATGATATTAAATGTTAATTTAGTATCTATTGATGCTTAGGAAGTTTTATAGTCATGAGTTGAGCATAAGGTTTGAAAGTTGTATGGTGATAGAAAAGGTTTAGGTTGACCAAAATCATACATGTGGACCCTATATTACGACTAGAAAGCTTCCTAGAGGTGGCAATTCAATGTTATTCTTTATTTTTGAAAAACAAGATATGTGGATGCATCCTCTCATCGTGCAAAGTTTTATTCTGCATGTACATCTAAGTTTGCTACATCAGTCCTTTCATTCTTTACAGTCAAGTATCAATTTCAAAGTAAAATCACATTTCAGATCCTTGGGTTTTATGTTACCTTAGTGTCAGGATCCGGGAACAAGCACGTGACATTAGGCTGTCTCCTGTTCGTTTCGGTTTTCTTTCAATTATTTCTCCCTGGCTTTTGTGTTGGTTCTGTCTTATTCCACTGGTAAATAAATATTTTATATTTGGCTCAAACCCTCTCACGATTTATTTCCATTATACCTTTCTATCCCATCTAGGATCTCATCCTTATGATCTTGCCAGACACCAAGATGCGGATACAAACACAATACGTATTAACATCATTCCATATCCAACATAAAAGTAACAACACTAATTAAAGACAAAACAACAAAATCCACAAAACAAAACTAATCAAACTCAATGTTAATATTTGCCTCACGGTATTCATCCTCATTCTACATCATCCTAAGCACCTCCAAGATTCCCCCGTTCCTTCATAGATGTAAGCCCAAATGATGAAGTTGGTGTCCTAGAAGTTGTCCCTTTGAATTAGATCTAGTCCTATTACATGGCTCCTCAACACCGACAGCTGTATCAGCACGATCCCATGTCAAATCATTATCCCGAAGACAAACTCTTCCTCTCTAGTCCTTATCTACCATTCATTACTCATCAATATCTTTTAATGCAAATTGATCAATTTTACCACGCTTGTGATTCTATTTGTTTTTTCTCTTATCTCTCTCGTCTTTCAAATTATTCTCACATTAGTATATATTAGGGTTAATTGCTAGAAAAACCACAACCTTTTGTTTAATTGCACATAAAACTCAATTTTTTTAATTTTGCACCAAAATACACACATTTTATAAGTATTGCAAAATCGTCTCAAAGTTGACTTCCAGCCAAGGTGTGCTGACATAGCCGATTGAAAAAGTGACGTGGCCCTCAAATTCAATAGTCAGCCCTCCACGTCACACACCACTACAACAACAGCAGCAACATAGCCTTTTAGTCCCAAGCAAGTTGGGGTAGGCTAGAGATGAAACCCAAGAGAACCAATGGTAAGAGAAACACAAAAAGGGCTCAAAACAAAAGGAAGAGATTAGAGCAAAAGAGAAAGGAGAAAAAGTCACGGTTCTGGCACGTTGATTGCTAGCCTCCAAGCGCTCATATCCACCGCTAAATCCTTGGAGATATTCCAATCTTTAAGGTCTCTCTTAACCGACTCTTCCCAAGTGAGTTTTGGCCGACCTCTACCTCTCTTTTTTCATCATTGACCCGCTGTAGAACTCCCCTACGCACCGGTGCATCAGGAAGCCTCCGTTGGACATGTCCGAACCACCTCAGTCGATGTTGAACCAATTTCTCCTCAATTGGAGCCACCCCGACCCTATCTCGAATATCCTCATTCCGGATTCTATCCCTTCTTGTGTGCCCGCAGAACCGACGCAACATACGCATCTCTGCTACACTTAGTTGTTGGACATGTTTCCTTTTTGTAGGCCAACATTAAGCACCGTATAGCATCGCCGTCCTATAGAACTTACCTTTTAGCTTTTGTGGCACCCTCTTATCACAGAGAACGCCCGAAGCTTGACGCCATTTCAACCAACCGGCTGTAATTCTATGCCTAACATCAACATTAATGCCGCCATCCTTTTGTAGCATCTATCCTAAATACCGAAAAGTCTCCTCCTTGGCCACCACTTGCCCGTCAAGGCTAACGTCACCGTCATCATGTGCAGCCATGCTGAAAGCGCACGTCATGTACTCGGTCTTCGTCCTATTAAGTTTGAAGCCTTTTGACTCTAACGTGTCCTTCCACAGCTCTAACTTCCTATTTACCGCTGCCCTACTCTCGTCAACTAGCACCACATCATCAGCAAAGAGCATACACCAAAGGATATCACCTTGTATGTCCCTTGTGGCCTCATCCATCACCAAGGCAAATAAATAAGGGCTCAATGTTGACCTCTGGTGTAGTCCTATTTTAATTGTGGGAAGTCGCTGGTATCGCCTCCTCATGTTTGGACACACGTCATCGCATCCTTGTACATATCCTTGATGAGGGTAATGTACTTAGATGGGACTTTGTGCTTTGTACATATCCACGTCACACACCACTAATATATTAAAAAAAAAAAAATCCTTTTTTCTTTCCACAAACACTTCATCTTCTTCTCCACTCCACCTCCAACCAACAACATCTCTCATCAATGGAAGCTCAAAAAATTCCGCCAAATACCAAACCCTAATCCATCCCAAGAAGCCCAGATCCACGCACCGAATCAAATCCCTCGACCTCCCGCCGGAAATCACCATGGAAATCCTCCTGCGCCTCCCCGTCAAATCCCTCCTCAGATTCAAGTCCGTTTCCAAATCATGGCTCGCCCTCATCTCCAGCTCCCAATTCGAAAAGATTGAAGTTTATTCCTGATTAAAAAATAGGAAATTAGGGTTTATATTCTCCAGGGGTTTATGATAAAGCAATTTGAAATTGAGAATAGGTAGAGAAATGAACGTAATGCCAATGAATTCAGCTCCTTCGACGCCTGTCAATCTCGTCTCGACCGAACAGTTTCAGAAGGTACAACTCTCGCTGCTCAAATTCTTGCTGCTGTCTCTTTCTCTTTGAGATAGTGATGGCCATTGTCTTTTTCTTTCTGTCTAGTGATGGTAGGTGAAGGAAGTGGCTTGCAGCCAGTTGGGTGTACGACTCTCTGTATTTTTAGTTTAGTTGAAATGCATTTGAGGTTTGGAAAAAGAAAAAAAAAAGAAGAAAGGAATTTTTTTTTAATATATTGGTGGTGTGTGATGGGGAGGGTGACGTGGAGGGCTGACTATTGAATTTGAGTGCCACGTCACTTTTCCAATCGGCCATGTCAGCACATCGTGGCCGGAAGTCAACTTTGAGACGATTTTGCAATACTTATAAAATGTTTGTATTTTGGTGCAAAATTGAAAAGGTTGAGTTTTATGTGCAATTAAACAAAAGGTTAGGGTTTTTCTGGCAATTAACCCTATAAATTATTATAATTTATTAATTAAAGCTACACAGTAAAAAAGAAAAATACTGAAGTATTAGAATAAAAACTTGCATTCTCAAAAGCACTCAAGTTTCGCTCACATCCGGAATAGTTGCAAGTTAGGCTCAACATATTGATACCAAACTTTTGCAATTCCCGTGTGTCAGACCCATATGATGCCCACCAGTCTGCTGCATACATAGCTCTTTAACCGCCATATACAAACCAAAAGCGCCCTCGTTTAAGATACTTACCAATTTTCTTCAAATTTGATTTTGTTTTTCGGCACTTGGAACCAACCTTTGAATAAACTTGTGCATCCCTCTATTGATCTATGAAGAAGCTCCAGGGCACTCCATATATTTGTAAAAGAACTCCAGGTTGAAGAAAAACACGTGGCATGTAAAGGTAGATGCAGCCGAACATTCCACCTTGATGATTTTATAAGCCACTTTGTGCTTCCTCTCATTCCCACTATAGCTTCTTTAACTCTATCCATCGCTTCATAAATAAATCCCATCAAGGTTTCCTAACCATCTAAATCTGAAGTTGAAGTATGTGAACAGGAGAAAAAGCAAATTTCAAAGCAATGGAAACATTGTTCCAAAGTGCCTTAGTGAAGGCATCATCGTTATCCTGACAGACACATCCCGAGGATTCCGCTCCCTGCATCTCCGTGTCGACTAATGATCGACCAACACCATGCTGAGGTTCCGCTTAAACCATTTGCTTTGAGTCCACCCATCAAACACAAATATTTTCTGCAAATTGGTCTTTTGAAGATGAAAAGTTGCAACGTTAGAAAATCAAATTGAGTTTTTGCAGATTTCACTAACTCTTTTTTTTGTAAAATCCCTTATCGTGTTCAACAAAGTGGGGGACGATTATAGATATATCTGTGCACTAAAATAGCCCTCTCCCAAATCTTTTGAAGACATGGAATCTTAAATATGTGGTCCAACATCAAATCGAGACACTGTGCGACAAAAGGACTCAATAAATGCGGGCACTTCTCTCCCTCCAATAACTTGTTATCCACGGTTCGATTGTTGACTTCTTGAACCCCATTATTTTCTCCAAGCGCCATGATGTAAGTTTCTAATTTTCTGCAAATCTTGAATCCTCATCCTTTGTATAACTTGAGTCTTGACCCTTGATGCATCAATGGAGTCAATAAACATGGTGTTACGAGCAGAGTCCGAAAAATTGCTCGAAGGTTGGTTCCACTGATTGGTCCACCCGTCAAACATCAATGTGCAACCGTCTTGTGCCCTTGATTGCGCAGGATCCTTCAACATCTTCTCTACATGCATTCGTACTTAATACGTTTGCAGTGGCAAACCGGGACCATAATTTCTGATTTCTCGAAACTAGGAAGAGGGTTCAGAGTCGTATAAGAATCTTGCAATTTTTTTTATGATCTATCTCTTCAATTCTTGTCGATAGGGCGCATCCTTGTCTATTCTTGGTTGTTTTTCCTTGCCCATGACTTTCCACAACAACTTGGTATTGGGCCTAAAATAGCAATTAATAACCCATTTTGTTTTTGGCCTCTTCAATTGAGTCTTCGTGTTGCTACCTTGAGTAGATGTGGATGAGGATTGATACCTTGGTGCCTGTGGACTTGGGATCAATCTCTTCTTTGAAATCATAATCACCAACCATGTCATCTATGTCCACAATTTGTGTGCTCATTTTTTTTTTTCATAGCCATGAAAATTCTTTTGCTTCTTCTCCAACTTATGTGGGACACCTTGCACTAATCAATTTATTGTTTCAGTGGAGAGAATTGAGATATGAAACATGTGCGGCACCTTTTGCAAGCGCGCCCCTCACCACAGCTAGTTGAGGTGGCCAGGCGTCTCTATGGATGCCATGGTCTCGCCTCCTCAATCACTGGTTGAGGGTTTATGTAACCTGTGGAAAGATGAACAAAATGAGTCATGATTTCTTGGATCGTCAAAGTTGGTGGTGGTTTTGAGGATTTCTTGGAACATTAATTGTGATTTCTTCGATTTTATGTATGCGTTACCAGAATCAGTTGCCGGCGTTCGGAGGCAGGCGGCGACTTTCGGCTGCCGGTCACCCTCTCTGACATTTTCTTCAACTTTCTTTTTTCTTTTTTCTTTTTTTGTTTTCCTGTTAACATCTTTCTTCTTCCTTAATTTCATGAATCTGGTTTTTGTGGCTTTCATTATTTGAATAAATGCCATATTTTAAAAAAAGCATTTGAAAATGACAAGTCGGCTGTATTTGTCACATGTTGGCGAATTTCCACTGGAAAATGTCTGATGCCTCGAATCGGATAACAGGAGAGTTTGTGTATTTATCTGATCTGAGGCAAGTTCGATCCTACGGAGGGTTTTAAGCATCGAATCACAAGTGCTTGTGATCCGATGGTAACCCCCATGGGAGCAGTGCCCATCGGCGTAGGGTGAAGTTCATCCTGATCTGTTGACTTGAAAATTTTGTTACTTAACTGAAAGTCAGGATTTATTTGCAATTAGCCCTTCAATCAATGAGTTTTTTCCATTTTGGTGACTTTGTTCGGTTTGTTGAATTTACTTACCTTTGCAGAGATGAACTTATGAAAAATGACATTTCTATTCTTCACCGAGACAATAGTTTCTTGACCTTTATGAGTGCACTAGATTCTTATTTCTTGAAAGACGCTTTGTTTTTGGGTTGCTTGGTTTGTTTCTATTGTTTTCGTCCTCCATTCTCCAATTTTTTTTGAAGTATATCTGTGCCTCTTCCAGTCTCATCTATCAATTGATTGTTCTTTACTAAGATGCACATGCACTTTGACCTATATTTATCTATTGTTTATATGAATTAACAGAGATAACATCTCTGAAGAGAATAGGGTGGTGTAAGTTGTTCATGCATGGATATTGTTTACTGCAGGCCTGGCGTTTACTTACTTAGGGTTGTATTTGATGGACGGGCATGGTCAACCTGCTCTGCTCTACCTAGTGCCGTGTACACTTGGTATGAAATGAATTCCTTTCTTAGCATTTGGCTAACAAAAAAATATTTCTCATTTTTCTGATTTATCTTTTGTGAACCATTTGACTGCAAAACCTCAGGAACCTGTATTGTGTTGGGTATGATAAGAGGGGAGCTGAAACAACTATGGACTTATGGCAGTAATTCAACTGAATCCAATGCCCCTGGAGAAGCTTGATATGAATGATACCCCATAATTCACCATTCATTTTATAGGTCTCTTACGTTGACAATGCTAATCTTGCCTGTACTGAGGTGGGGTATTTCATTCGAGTGCTACAGGCATTACCTAGGTTGATTAGTATATGGGCATAATATTTATCTTTTTTTTTTTCTTTTTTTTTTCTCCCTTGTATTATTTATCATTGTGTATCCTTCACATGTAACAACGTTATTTTACTTTATCCTTTTAACACTTTCTCATTATGAAAGATTTGAAGCCGAGATCAAATCGGCTTCATTGGACCATTTTGTACAAAAAGAGAGATTATATTTAATATTTGTAGGTTATATATTAAGCATCCGTAAGTATGATCTGCCGAGTTACATTGTAATTTCTTTAGATGATATTGGTGAAGCAGCAATCATCCAATGTGTGTTGTGTTGCGAAACTTAATTTAGTGGTGCTATTATATTCTATGAACTGCATTCTCCGTAGGTGCGAATTGCATGTATTGGCAAGGTTTTCTTTTGTATTATTAATTTTTCTCGTGGTTTGTGAAGTTAATATAAGTTTCTGGGCCGGCCAAATTTCATTTTGTAAGTTCTAGCTATGCATTGGAATGATTTCAGATAACCAGATTTAGGGATGCGCGAAAAAGTTTGAGGCTTAAATCATCCACCCGACTCCTATACCTCAAAAGAAAATTCTAGTAAGTTTCATTTTGGCATAAAGAATTATCAGTATGATCCCATAATCCACCAACACAACCACTCAGGCACTTGCTCGGATCCTTAATCGACGACCCATCGTCTTCAAATATACCATTTGAACTCACTCGGTTAGTATATTTGAAGGTGCATATTTTCTTATTTTTTATTTTTTTAGGGGAAAATGTACAATTTATTTGCAGATAACAAAATAATGTATATATATACGAAAGAACAAAAACAAAAAATGATAATGGGGTTAATAAATATGTATTAAATAGAAAAAGTATTATGGTCAAACGTCTAACAGTTAAATTGTCTCACGCAGGACTTTGTGATTATATTAATGCTTCCAGAATTATGAATCTAAAAAAAAAAGAACCAAACCTTCATTATTATTCAATCGGGGCAGAACTTCTCCAATATTTGGGTCTATTGAGCAAAAAAGAGTAATGTGATATAGAAATGTGATTGCTATTTGCTGGCAAAAATTACTACATGTTGCCCAAAAAAT